CTGCGACAACTGGGTCTGTTTTGCGGACTGCGACAACTGGGTCTGTTTTGCGGACTGCGACTTCTCATTTTCCGCTTTTTTTTTTTTTGTTGCAGCGTTTTTCCGTACTGCCAATGTAATGCCTTGTGCATTGCTTGTATCAGGGAGTATTGTACTACTCCCTGGCTTGTATTGTGCTTTCTTGACACCTGCATGCTTGTCGGTGGCTGGATTAGCTAGTGCAAAACATGTGTGACTTGTACCAGGACATGTTTTTTCGTACTACATGTAGTCGAAGCATGGCATGCACTCGCTTTGGCACAGGGATATTCATAGCTCAGTTGGCGCTTGCCATGCTTCTACATATCTGTAGCTGATCGATCCTCTTCAATTTTCCGTACCATTTTGCTCAAATTCCGTACTGCGGACAAAGGAGTGATTTTCCAAATACGGAAACATACGGGAGGTCGGCAGCACTGCGGTGCCGCCCAATGAAATCCGATCGCGTGAGACAAGCTCGCGTTGGGTGCATATGCACCCCTAGACCTGCAGACACTGCAAACACTGGCATGTGAACTGGGCACAGGGCGCAAACTGCGACCCCCGGCGATCGGAATTCACCGAGCAGCGCTGCGTGTTCTGCTCATCCAAATCACACATACCACCGTATTTCCCCGAATATATGTCGCACCTTTTTACACTAGAATTCACGGGTAAGACAGTGGGAGCGACTTACAATCGAGCATGACTTACTACTGAAGTGAATATATCAAATCAATACGTCTCAAACGTAAAAAATGGAGGTGCGACTTTTAATAGGGGAAAATACGGTACAAGCACGTTGTGCTGCCCAACTGGCAACAACATGTCCACCCCTGCTTTACTTTGAAAAGCCATGTCTTCATTTCAATGTTCATAAGTTTGAGGGAGTTGAAACGGGAACAATAATTATTTCACTCTTACTACCAAGTCCAGGAGGACATTTTTTGTATGATTTTTTTTAAAGCCAAGTCCTTTTGTTGTAGAAGTCCACTAAGAGTGTCTCTCCGTAAAGCCTTGTCTAGTATAACTCTTTCCAACTCTAATCAATGGTGTATTGCTGAGATACAGCGAGCACAACCAGACTAATAGAAGAGATAGCACTTTAGCCCTGACATCGGCTTCTACAGGAATAAGCCCGGCTTTAATACGCGACACTACGGTATTTGACACCCTCAGCTTGCACGGCCCTTGACGCACTGGCAGTGGTACGAATGCGGCTGGACGTACACATGCAACAATACAGTGATGTAATCGGAACTGGTCCAGGGTACAGGGCACCAGTTTTGCACTTTGGGTTGGATTTCAGTGAGCACAACTGTGACAGGGCAGCAGTGCCAACTTTTTCCGCTTCTGTCTCTTATGAGCTCTGCCACATGTGATGACAAGCCATGCACTTGCTTTGCTTTCGCTTTTTCTCTTTTTTGTTCACGTACACGTATACTACCATAGCATAGAACGAGGTCTATCTTGTTGTCTAGGATACGACCAATCAGTGACGTCCCAGTCAACGGCCTCATCAGACAATAAACGTGGACAATCCAACATCGCATGCAGGCAAGATCGCAAGAGACAGAAGCCACACCGCACACAGACACACAACGGACATGCCAGGCAAGACGGTCAAACAAAAGGTTACCTTGAACTTGTAGCCCCACTCCACCGACGAGCCGTCCGAGTGGAAACGGAAGTTCAACGGACCACCGCCGGGAAACGAGACATTCTGCAGGCACAACACACACCGCACAACACACACCGCACAACACACACCGCACAACACACACCGCACAACACACACCGCACAACACACACCGCACAACACAAGCACAGCACAAGACAAGCACAGCACAAGCACAACACAAGACCGGGGATAACACAATCAACCAAAGCAAACAAACATGCTGCCACCAACTGAGCTACAGTCAGACCTCACTTTTCCGGTCCTCTTTTATCCGGATCCCTCGTCATCCGAAAGAAAATCGTTGGCTACCGATTTACAGCATGTCATGCATTCATACAGTATGTGTGTTCGATTATCCGGTTCCCTCACCTATCCGGATATTTTTGTGGAAAACGGATGCGTGCGGGTAAGCGAGGTCTGACTGTATTCCCCATCGTAGATGTACTGGAGCTAACAAAAGGACAGTAGGTCCCGGTGGATAAGCCCAAGAGAGGTTTCCAAAACCATCACAAAACGGTGAACTCACGAGTGGCCACTTGACATTGCCCACTGAGTTGTCGAAACGGCGTGACAAGCCGTGAGCATCGGTGAACTCCAAGTAGTCATATCTACAAAGAACACGCACACACGCACGTACACACGTGCACACGCACACAAAATAAAATTAATACGGCATAAACAATCCGAATCCGAATGAGAAGCCAGGCGGAATCAAGCCTTTACCAAGAGCAATCAAGCCAGGATGAAAATCTACCGTATTTCCTCGATTAATGGACCATGCTCGAATAATAGACCATGCTCAAATAGTAGACCCTCCTAGAGGCCTCACGGAAAAATAGTAGACCATGCCCGAATAAGAGACCCGGTCTCTTATTTGAGTTCATCGCTTTGCACATGCGCACTAAGAAAGCATGTGGTGGATCAAAAAAGGACGCGATTTTAGGTTGCGCAACTACAATTTTTGTAGTGGCTAGTGCTTTCTTTCATTATTTAAGCACGGTCCACTATATTTTCATCGGCACATCGCTGGAAATGGTGGATTTTTAACACGTCATAATATCATCACCATCACATCATCATCACAAGCCCATAGCCCTAAGGCCGTCGGGGCGTCACAGATCAAGTATGAACAAGCGAGCGCCATAAAAATCGATCGCGTGCAGCAGCTAGCAAGGACTGCACGTCAAGTGCAGTCCATGAAATAATATTATCAAGCCATGACATTCTGGGCCTGCCTCGGCCACGACCTCCAGCAACACAACCCTGAAGAACAGTCAATGACAAACAGCCGGAACGAACAATATGACCAAAAAATTGCAATTTCCTTCTACGAACAGAAACAATAAGTGATTTTTGGATTTTTAACACGTCATAATATAGAACTTCTATATTGTGACGTGTTAAAAATCCACCATTTCCAGTGATGTGCCGATGAAAATATAGTGGACCGTGCTCAAATAATGGACCATGCCCAAATAAGAGACCGGGGGTCCAACCCTCTTCAAAAAACAAAAGACCAGGTCTATTAATCGAGGAAATACGGTAATCTACTTTCGAAGGAAAACTAATTGAAAACCAGATCCATATGCAACATCAGAGGAGAACATTCCCACACACACATGTGTGCGTGCGTGCACGTGCGCGTGTGTGCATGTGCACAACGCATTAACGTATGTGTGTGCGTGTGTACATAATCATCGTCAATACAATATCACGGAATTCCAGCAGCCACTACGGTACATGTGGCTATATATGTACTAACCTTGCTTCTGTCTCACAGCGCGAATCAAAGTCAATCACATACTGACTTGAACCGGGACAATCAAACGTCTAAACACGTACAGACACACGTACGGACACACATATGCACACACGTACACGCAAAGAACACACACACACATACACACACACACACACTCAAACAGGTCTCCCTCTTGCTGACCATTGACATGCCAATCACCAAGCTGACGTCATCATGTAGATGTACGCGAGTAGTGATGTCACCCACTTCCGGCAACCAGTCACAACTTCTTCGCATGCCACAATATACGGTATTCAAAGTCTGATTCGACGCAAGATGCCCATAGAAGAAAGGAAATCTGAAGATTGCACTGAAGCGTGAGCGTCCCATCATGCAAGAGTTTTGCATAAAACTGTGACTTGTAATACATGACGATACAGTGGAACTAACAAAGTACGTACTCTGGTAAGACATACCGTATTTTTCCGGTTGTAAGTCGACCTTTTACGACGTAAAATAGAAGGAGAAAGGGTGGGGGTCGACTTACAACCGGGATTCGACTTATAACCGGGAACTATCAGAATCTTACAAAAAATGACCTGAACTGCATGCACGAGTGCACCATGTGTACACATTTTTCCAGTTTATTGGTCTTTTGAAGGATTGGGATGGTATAACCTCCAACAAGGAATGTTTACATGATTTGTTGATGTGTTAATAGCAGGGAGGGGTTAGTAGTGCTTCTTTGGGTGAAAACTTTAAAACGCAGAATTGAGACCTCCGGATACGGGGGTCGACCTATAACCGGGGTCGACTTACAACCGGTAAAATACGGTACCGTAAAACATGTTATTTTCGGTGAAACTTTAATTTCGGTGATTTCGGTAGAGAAAACAGGCACCTAAATCTAGATTACACCTAAAAGGCACCAGAGTATGCACTGTACATGTATGTGAACGGAACGCTGTTCACCTAATTCTACATTACACCTGAAACCTGGCAGGTCTCCGGCACCGAAATTTTAATGCACCTAAAATTACATGTTTTAGAGTACTCTTGCTTTAACCCTTTACCATCCGACCAAAATTCCCCAGCAGTCCCAAATGTAATATTTCTCACCTTATTCTGAGACTATCTTCGGTTCTAATCATCCAATTTTCACAATCTTGGGCATTCTGGAAAGCTCTCCACGAGCTGCGTACATTGAGCTCAAACAGGACACTACCGAGATCACATATCCAGCATCAGGGAGCTTCAAATACTCCCCCTCGCTGAATATACGAGGACATTCTCTCCTCGCCAGCCATTTCTCGCTCCTTCATCGTAAACATTCCAATTGTTTTGCTTGAGTTTCTTTTCATGCTGCCCACGGGCTCAAAGCATGCCAAAGTGACTCAGCATGTCAGGAGAGGGGAAATTCCCCGCTCAAGGTCAGTCACTCGGAAAGAAATTCGACTTTTGCCGTGGCTGAAATGTCGAGCGTAATATCTTTGGAATGCGACATCGCAGCTCTTCACCGATTGCTGCAATGGAAAGCTGGGCTCTTCGGCTTCTTCCTAGATACTTAGGTTTTTAAATTCCGACAAGAATCGATCGAGTTACGAATGTTTTAGTGTATGCATGTCCATCGATCTCTAGAGATCGATTCAAGTACGCACGGATGGTAAAGGGTTAAGTAAGGAAATTATCCCCGAGTACAGGGGTAGAGATCCATACAGACTGGTATGTTTGGATAAGAAGTACCTTGGATAAGAAGTGCACTTTCCTACTGCACATACATGGGTGAATCTTAGCAGAGTTCCCAATGCAATAGTTCTTCAACTGAGAAGACTGAAAACGGGTAGCTGCAGACTTGATGTGCGTGCGTGCGTGCATGTGCGTGTGTGTGTGTGTGTGTATGTGTGTGTGTGTGTGTGTGCGCGAGCGTGCGTACGTGCGTGCGTGCGTGTGCGTGTGTGTGTGCGTGTGTGCGTGCGTGCGTGTGTGTGTGTGGGCGCGTGTGTGTGTATGTGTGTGTGTCCCAGACTTAGCAGCACTGCCGGCTTCCTACCTTGTAGACATCCATGTTGTTGTCGTAGCGATGCGGGGACTCCACTTCCCATGTGCGAATCATTACCTCCTCGGCTTTAGCTTGAAGGAGCGAACTACTCAGCTGTGACCACAAGAACACACACACGCACGCACGCACGCACGCACACAGAAATGCACCAAGATTGATAGAGTAGCGGGATCGAATAAACGTATGTGGGATGAGGAGAGAAGGAAACAAACAAAGTGGACAAACCAAGAGCTGGTCAAGCTGACAGACATGACACAGTCCAGGGCAATGGTAATATTTCATCAATTCTGAATGAAGTTAACGGCAGTCTCACAGCCTCCTGCTTCAAAGACTTTGACACAGTGAGAAACAGGAAAGAAGGCACATCATTTGTAAAGGCAACAGAATTTCACACACATATGCATGCACATATGCATGCACGTATGCACACACACACACACACACACACACACACACACACACACACACACACACACACACACACACACACACACACACACACACACACACCGCCGCCGCCACCACCACCAACCACCACACACACACACCTCAGACCTCAGACCTCAGACCTCAGACTTCAGACCTGCCCATCGCGGAAGCGATGATAGCGAACAGCTATGTTAGACATAGCGACTTGTGCTGGGATTACACCATTCGAGCAGCTTGCAAGGCTGACGAATTGACCGCCACTAACTTGAGCCTGGTTTACACCACACAGATGATTGAAGTGGCTTTTTCTGGCCAGTGAATCCCTACTCCCAACACACACACACACGCACGCACGCACGCACGCACGCACGCACACACACACACACACACACATACCGGTAGAAACATCTTGGGAAGAACGTTAGAGACGCGCTGCACAGCTTTGTACACCATCACCAAGTCTGTTAGAAGAGGGCTACGGAGGCCAGGAACTGAGCTGAAGAAGCGGAGCAAGAGCAGCTAAATACAAACACACACACACACACAAGAACACAACACGGGTAGCAATGAGAGAAAGTGAAAACAACAACAGGACGTGTCTTCTTATCAGTGCTGCTCTAGTGACGTACAACTACTCTACAAAACGTACGACACACACACACATGCGCACGCGCACACACACGTACGCATGCCCCCCCCCCCCCCCCCCACACACACACATACATACACATACACACGCACACAACTGGTCAACTGCAACTATGTTCCCGCAGCAGGGCACCATGTCCTTGGATGTGTGCAGCCAGCACAGTGCCCATAGAGCTGTGCATCCACTGTACTGTGTACTGTACACTATAGTTTTACTACGGTGCAGTGCAGTGCAGTGCATGCACATGGAGCTGTGCATGCACTGCACTGTGTACTTATTGGCCTGTGCTTTCGCCTATGGGTGTTTACACGGAGGTGGGCTAGAAAACGGGACAAGAGTGTACACCCGGCACCAGGGTGCGTACATGGGCAGCGGGCGTTATACTGGGTGGGCGCTAATAGGAGCTTTGAGGTAGCACATTGCTTTGGTCGGCACACGCCTTGAGGTGGGTGACGTACCAGTTGGCGGAAAGACATTCCGACGATGGAGAATTCCAGCATCTGCACTGCTTCCTTCTGCACACGACACCCAGCAGACAGCACAGCAGACAGCACAGCAGACAGCACAGAAGACACGACAAACACAGCCCACCAACACCACCATAAGGATTAGAAACGAGAATGCAAAAGGTAAGCAAGCAAGGAGACTTCACAACAACGCACTGCCAATCACGAAACCGTCACGCTCAGCAACGCCAACAGCACACTACTACAACCCACCGTCTTGGAGAGACGCAGGGCAGCTTCGATGCACTCTACACTTCTCTTGGTCAACAATTGTGTGTCTGCATGTACAAACGACACCAGAAGAACGACAGACAGGTACTGTATATCATGTAAATTCCGGTGGGTCAACATTTCGGTGAAAACACGCACTGGACCATTCGGTGTAATCATAAATTCGGCGTAGAAAGCAAGAAGAAAAAGAAAAAATCAATGTCAGGTGGGACTTGAACCCGCAACTTTGAGATCGCGATCTGAGCAAAGAGTGGTAAATTTATGATCCCGTCGCGAGTCTCGCGCGTGAGATCTCATGATCATCATCTAGAGTCGTAAATGTACTACTCCCGCTTCGAAGTTTCCTCGTGGCGTGCCGTGGCAGAGGCGTCGGAAGGTATTTTAGTGCGGTACGGTTAGCCATCAGAAATACAATTTACTCGTGGGGGAGTGGTGGCTGAGCCGAAAATTTTGGAATTTTAGATCCCAGATCAGCGTATTTTGTTGATTCACAGGGTATCTGGGGCAAAAAAGTGGTACGGTCAATACCGTAGTGACCGTACCGTGTGCAACGCCCCTGCGTGGTCAAAGTAATTTTTCACTTCACTGAATCTGTCAGCGGTAAATTGTAGCGAGTGTTTTTTTCCTCTTCCTTCCACCATGTCGCTGGTTTCCTGGCTGTCTAAGGGGGCGTTCGTTTTTGATCTACAGGTTTGGGTAGAAACTACTTCTTTCGGTAGAGGTGTTCGTTTTTTGAAAAAAATTCTACTCAAAAGGGTAGATTCTACTTTCTTCTACCGGCTCTACCGGGAAAAAGTTGGTAGAATCCGGTAGAAGTTGGTAGAGCTACGGGATTTCCAGCAAGATCAAGGATTTGTACACAACTCCATAAAAAAAAAGAAACATTTCACGTACACATCGTGTAAACTACTAGATCTGGTAGAACAGCGTTCGTACACTTGCCTCTACCATCTACCTCTATCGGTAGAGTGACTCTACTCTACTCTACCAGGTAACTAAAAACGAACGCAGCCTAAGAAGAATACTAAGCTGGTAGAGAAGTTTGAGAAACCCAAATTGCCTGCACTTCCTGATCCCAATGATACTGCCACATCAACTGATGGGAGTTCCTGTGAGGCAGCAAACGGGCAAATCGAGAAAGTTGTTGGAACTGCTGCAACTGCCACCAGCAAACGTGGTCCATACACGCGGTACTCACCTGAGGAGCGTTTGGACATGGCAAGGTATGCTGCCTTGCATGGATTGGCTGCAGCCTCCAGGCATTTCTCTAAGAAGTACGGCAAAAATGTGACTTGCACAACTATCCAAAGTATACTGGCACAGTACAAGAGCAAACTTGGAAAAGTCTCAGATCCCGCTCGTCTTGAGTCGCTTCCTCATGCGCCAAGAGGCAGACCTACCGTGCTACCCAACGATATCGATGATCTTTTTTGTCGTCATTTGCGGGCAACTAGACCAGCCGGAGGTGTTGTAAGCCGTTGCATCACAATTGCTACAGCCAATGGTATTGTTCGTGCGCAGCGCCCGTCACTCCTGATAGAACATGGCGGCTGTTTAAACTTCACGGTTGGCTGGGCCAACTCCATCCACACGAGGATCAACTTCACGAAACGAAAAGCGACAAAGGCGGCCAAGAAATTGCCAGAGAATTTCCCAGGCCTGCAGGAGGATGTCTTGCAGCGGGTGAAGGACACGGTTCTTGAACAGCAGATTCCAGTTGACTTGATAGTACACTTTGACGAGACGGGACTGCCAATGGTGCTGTAGCAACTGCGAAAGGTCGATCTGTGGCTCTTGTGTTCTCTGCTGATAACAAGTGTGCCATTCCTGATAGGCATGCGCATGGTCGTCGTGGTGGTCTTCTGGCACTGTGTCAGGATGCTGAGAGCGCCCTGAAATTCCTGTGCAATGCTATCTTTGGTGGTTTGTCGCCACAATGTGGTGCACTGCTTCCATTACATTCTTGTCAGTGAAGTCAGCCTGAGCTTCGTGTGTCCCAGGGCTGTATCGATCATGCCAACACTGACTAGGCAATCTCAGTTGTAGTACCATGTGTTATCAGATGGTGTTTCTGTTCTGTCCCTCTTCTCTGCGGCTAGCCTTGCTTTTGGCTCAGCTGGTGCGGTGCTTGCTTGTTGTCATTTTCTTTCTAGTATTTGTGTGCAATGCCGAGCAGCCAGTTCGTGCTCTACTTACCGGCAAGAGTACATAACCCCCAAGAGTGTGCATTGTGCAACTTGACTATGGGTGCTGTCCCGAAAGAATTTCAAGATGACGTCATTTTTACGATGCAATGCGCACTGTACACGGATTATCAGACGAATCCGTAACCTGTGGTGGACCAAAGCCCATCTGATGCTGTACAAATTATTGCAAAGAAAAACGTGTGATGCTTGACACCCGTACACATGTTGTAAATCACTGGTGCAAGGAGCATTGCGTCATAAAATGACGTCGACTTGAAATTCTGTCGGGACAGCAGGGTATGTGGGAGTTGCACACTCTTGGGGGTAATGTACTCTTGTTACCTGGTTATAGTGTTTCAGTACAGTACTCAGCCGGTTGCTACTTACTCTATTCTGTGTCAGATTTCGTTCTTGACCTGGGTCCAGTTTGCTGCTGCGTCACATGATGTGAACGTTCCCGTTGCAGTTTATGTTTTACATCTATGGTGGTGCCAGTATGTATATAATGCACTTATCCTACATGTCGATAACTTGTGTTTTTGATCATCGTGCATGTGTCATGCGTGCATAAATAAGTCCATACATCCATTGTGTTGTCATTTGCCCGTAAAAGAGACCTGAAATAAGTCTGTTGCTGCCTGCGGGTGACAGTGACTGTAAAAATGTGAATCACCAAACTTAAAATGACACCGAGATTTTGCCGCGAATCACCAAACTTAAAATGACACCGAGATTTTGCCGCAAATCACCAAACTTAAAATGACACCGAAATTTTGCCGAAAAAAGAATAAAATTTTAGGTGTAACTTTAAATCAGGTAGATTTCGCCTTTCACCGAAATCAGCGAATTTAAAGTTACACCGAACATTACATGATTTACAGTAGTCAAGAAAACTAAACGCAACCAAATACGTTAGCACATGGAGAAACGAAGCCAGCTGTGAACCTGATCAGGCCTTTCGTGCCATTACTTCTCAAATTGGTTGGGTACATGGTGATAATGTGACAGAGCAGAAATTGACATTGTTGTGCTTCGTCACATCACCAGGTACTGGTTTGAGAAGTAATGGCACGAAAGGCCTCATCAGGTTTCACAACTGACTTTGTCTCTTTGTGTGTGATGATATGTTTCCCTCCGGCAGTCGCATCTCCGACTAAGTCTGTAAACACCACAGCTGTGGCAGTGAGAATCAACTTCTCAAAACTCGGTGAATTTTACGATCATCTCCTCCTGTCACAGAGGACCAGGACAGTAACTGTATCGGCTTGAATTGCCGCACAGGAAACGACTTGCATCATTCCATCACAAATCACTGGAACAATACCGGAATGCACATTGACAGCAAGCCACGTCAGCATACAGTGTAGTAGGTGTATGTGTCCAGTCTCTCTGGCACATTTCTTCACGTGGTCGTGTTGTGCAGAGAGAGAGGGGGGGGGGGGGGGGTAGTGTTGACACACATAATCAAGATACCTGGTTTGAATAGAAGCCCTGACATCGGCTTCTACAGGAATAAGGCCGGCTTTAACACGCGACATTACGGTACATACTGGCTTACATTCCATTAGCAACTGCTCAACGGAGAGCAGGGCGTTCTTGTTCTTCTCCTTCTCCTCCTTGTCGGCGGCGTCTTTCTTGTCGGCAGACGAGTCCGCCGCCGCGCCAGAGTCGGCCTTCTTGGCCGCAGCCTTTGCCTCGACGTACGCCGGCACTCGAAGGTGCTTGGCCACCCAGGTGACCATGGTGCGCTGCAGAGCGCACAGCAGACTGACCAGCTCGTGAGTCATGCGCTGCGGTGAGCCTGGCTGGGCGTTGGATATCGAGGTCGTGAGACGAGCGCGCTTCGAGGTCAAGGACGCATCCGACGCGTCCGACAGCTGTGTCATCGTCTGGTGATGGCGGTGCCCCACGGCGTCGTACACGCATACACACGCGCACACACGCACACACACACACATGCGCGCACGCACACGCACACACACACACGCACGCACACACACACGCACGCACACACACACACACACACACACACACACACAGAGCAGGTGTCAGGTCGTACAAAAAAAGGCAAATATCAACTTTTCTCCTAAAACAGAATCACAGCAGAAAAGCCCGCGTACCACCACAGCAGAGCACAGATCTCTGGCCTTGGACCCCTAGCCAGATGTATTTAAAGCAGGATGTGGAGAAAGTTTCTTCAGAATTCCTTAACTCCATTGCAGCGTATTTCTTGCACTTGAAAACACCGCCATTCCGGCAACAGGCTCTCAGCTGCACCAAATAAATAACTTTGCCTTTCAAGATAAGGAGAATGTTACTGATAAGGAATGCACCATGCATGTAGACCATTCGGGGCCAAATATGCACATCAATTCACTCTGACATGCACATTGGTAGCATGTACAGTCGACTCCTGATATAACGAACACCATTGTTCAGGAGAATTAGTTCTTTACAGCCAAAGTTTGTTATAACAGAAATGCACTCATACTGCACAAGCAGCAAGCCACGACTGGCAAGTGGTCCATGACAGTATGAATGCACTCAGTTTACATACTGCCCTACAAGATTTGGTTCGCTATAGTATAAACGAAACCTGTTCGCTATAAAGGGTCAATTTTGTATGGGTTCAAACTTCAAACAGGGACATGGACAAATGTTCGCTATTATCACGAAATTCGCTATATGCGAGTTTGTTATAAGTGGAGTCGACTGTACTCGAGTGAGCGCTACTAATGTGCAGTGCTCTTCAATGATTGAAACCCGATCGAGTGAGTTGCTGTAGCACTGGGCGCTGTGCAGCAGGCGCCAGACCTGTAATGGTGTTCCTCGTGTACAAGTACAATAAGGAGTGTCTGCTTCTACTACACGAATGGTAACACACTGACATCAAGGACGGATATTACAGAGAGCCCGAGGGACTCGCAACATCCACACATCAAGTACGGATATTACAGAGAGCCCCGAGGGACTCGCAACATCCACACATCAAGTACGGATATTACAGAGAGCCCGAGGGACTCGCAACATCCACACATCAAGTACGGATATTACAGAGAGCCCTGAGGGACTCACAACATCCACACACCAAGCACAGATGTTACAGAGGCCATGCGGGGCTTGCAACATCCTAACATCAAGTAAAGATACGACAGAGAGCCCTGAGAGACCTCTAACGTCCCCGCAACAACCACAGACATTAAATTGTTACCTTTTGAAACGCTACTGCCAGAAGCTTGGAGAGGACTTCCAGGACTGGCCCCTTCTCAAACTTCTCCTGCAAGAAGAAAGAGTGAATGTGTGAAAGAGAGCATGTGAGTTGTAAATGTGCAGGGGGGGGGGGGGGAGCAGGTAGGGAGGCGTACAGAACGGACGGACGGACGCACGGACGCACGCACGCACAGACAGACAGACACACAGACAGACACACAGACACACACACAGACAGACACACACACACACACACACAGACACACACACACAGACACACACACAGACACACACACACACACACACACACACACACACACACACACACACACAGAAAACAAACCGGGAAAATCCAACCATTCATAAATGCGTGGGAGTTGATATGGGGAAAGTCTGCAGATAAATTATTTTGCCATGATTGGGGTTCGAACCAGTACTAAATTCACCGAGCATATCACATGCCCCATAACATACACCCGGCCCAAATGTTTCCAGGCTGCAACAACATCCAAATCAAACACCCATGCTAGTATGCACTGACCAGATCATCAGGCAGCCCCAGGAGACTGCGACTATCAGACTTGCTGTAGTAACGACATAGCGACTCAAACGACAATACCCGCGACATCTTGCATGGACCATCGCCCTGGAAACGAGAAATAAAAGACGAGTACATTGTCGGTGGTTGTCATGGCGATAATAACAATCATTATTGGCAGAGAAGCAACAGTTGAGCACCATTCACTCAATATCTACAGACGGACGGACGGACGGACGGACGGACGGACGGACGGACGGACGGACGGACGGACGGACGGACGGACGGACGGACGGACGGACGGACGGACGGACGGACGGACGGACGGACGGACGGACGGAAAGAACGACAGACAGACAGACAGACAGACAGACAGACAGACAGACAGACAGACAGACAGACAGACAGACAGACAGACAGACAGACAGACAGACAGACAGACAGAAAGACAGACACGTAAACTCACGGCAAGCTCATCGATTCTCTCCAAGACATGTTTACAGCGAGCCTTCGCATCCGGGAAGAACGCCTCCGCACCTAAAGACAAACAATGACAAAATGGTTGCCAGCAGACAGCAGACACGAAAGAGAGTACGAAAACATGCAGCACTCACACGTATACACAACAGGACAGCCAAGACAGTACATGAAATGACATTGTTGATCTACTTAGCTCAAACTTACCATCCACGATAACACGCTCCGCTATTACCATGATATCCGGCGCGGTCGTCTCGTCATCCACCAGGTCAGCCAGGTGGTCGTGCAGCGTGCGAAAGCCTTCGGCAACCTTCGCCGGGGTCGGCTTGGCAGCTTCGGCCGTAACGGTCGACATCAGCGTCATAATGGCGGCCACTGGCGAAGGCTCTGCAGCGGTGGCGGAGGAGTCGACGGTGGCCGAGGAAGAGTCCTTGCCGTCGCTGGTCTTGTCCTTCTGCGCCTTGGCAGCTGCTTCCCTGGCCATCTCCTTGGAGTGGCGGATGAGAGCGGGCAGCAGGCGGTGCAGAACGTGCAGTGCTAGCTTGCGACACATAGTGTTCAGCGGTGACTCCTTATCATCACTGCCACTGCTGCTGCTGCAGAAAACACACATACACACACATACACAGATACGGATACGGACGGACGGACAGATGGATGGACGGACGGACGCCAACACACACACACACACGCATACAGACACACACACACACCAACACACACACACACACACACACACGCACACGCACACGCACACACACGCACAAAATGCTGTAATCACAAAGACCAGCACGGCTTCACGCGCCTACTCGGTGGGGGTGGGGGTGGTAGGGAACGAAAGACATCACTGCTGCGGGTGGCTTAGGAATCTACCCAATAACTGTACGGATATTTCCAGTCAATGGCCTGGTGGCTGGCCTTGCGACAGGGACATGGTAAGTGGTTGTAGTTGTGTACGTACCTGTGACAAAGAAGCTCGTACAGTTTCCACCATGAGAGGACGGTGACATTGTCCATGTCAAACAGAGGCTTCTGTACATACACAAAACAACATAATGATATCACTTGTACCAAGAAGACAAGGGGGACGGACACACATGCATGCACATGCAATAACACACACACACACGCACGCACGCACGCACGCACGCGCGCGCGCGCGCGCACGCACGCACGCACGCACGCACACACACACACACACGCACACGCACACGCACACGCACGCACACACACACCCCCCCCCCCCCACACACACACACACAGGTAGTCAGACCATGAGTATACAGACAAGATCAGCATCAGGTGTACTACGGGATTCAGGGCAGACACTGAGCAGCTCACATACCTTCCGTTTAGCCTGAGTGAGCATCTACAATGAAACAAACACACACACACACACACACACACACACACACAGCAGCAGCAGCAGCAGCAGCGGTGGCGGCGGCGGCGGCAGCAGCAAAGAAGGATAACAAGAGTCACGTGAGGTTCAGAAGCAGACAGGACCGCAGTGGACTACTATATCTGACTCAGCCTGTCGTACATCTATGTGTTGTGTTGTGTGGAACCTCTACATGTACCGTAAAGTACCGCCAGAGCGCCCCACCATCTCATCCTTTCGTGGTCGTATTGTGGAGGTGGTCTGCTGTCTGTACGTCATACGACATGAACCTTGTACACATACTGCACGTTTTGCAGTCAATCCGTACCTTCAAGAGGACACAAGCTCCACACAAAAACCTGACAAGTGTGACCTTAGTACACTAAGATTCTCACATCGTACACACTTCGTTGCACTCTGCCATACGATTTTCCTTTCTCTGGCTGTAAAATCAAGGTGGGGCGCTCTCGCGAGACGGGGCGCTCTGGCGGTACTTTACGGTATTATGAACACAGTATCACACTGCGTTACACACACTTGCAGCAGCTGCCCTGAACAGACACTGCACATACCGGTAGATAAAGACCCCAAGCCTAAAGACGTTAGACCCCATGAAGGGAGTTCAATTCCGGCCCGGGTTAGGTGAAAACTGGCACCCTTAACCCCATACCCGAAGACCCCATGCCCGAAGACCCCATGCGTAAAGACCCTATGCGCAAATTCCCCACACCTAAAGACCCCATGCCCGAAGACACGGCACCCCTAAGACAACATGCGTGAAGACCCTGTACCCCGCCCCTGCAGTGCCCCCGACCCGGTCTAACCTGTAACTGCGTGAGCTCGGCCATGAAGACGAGCAGTCGTAACAGGACATGTGACGCTGGCATAGGCGCACCTCCAGTCGGTAACGGTGATAGCTCCTCCTGACAGCAACAACCGGAAGAGAAGCAAAAAGCACGAAAAGTGGAGGGGGCAAGAGAGATTGTAAGTGACACAAAACAACAAAGACTACAAGTAACGGTTACTATGAGATTCCAGTATACGCCTACTGTAAAAGCAGAAATTTTCGGTGGTGTAATATTTTCGGTATTCGCCAAAATCGGCGGTTCGGTAGAGGGAAATTTTCGGTAAAACCCGTTCTCCAGGTAAGTGTACTAGTACTACATGTATACAGTATCGGTTGTACCGAAAATTTCGGTGCGTTTTATTTTCGGTAAAACTTGTCGGCACCGAAGTTACCGAAAATAAAACACCACCGAAAATTTCTGCTTTTACAGTATAACTGGCAATACTGGCCGAGGCGCTTAGTAGTTTGCAAGCCAGAACATTTCACCCGATAAGAAAAAAATAGGGCTGAAACGGTTATAACGAATAACCGGTTATGTAACCGTTAGGGCCAGGCAAACGGATAACCGTTTGATCGACAGTTAGGAACCGATTTCTTGAACAGTTTGCGGGGGGGGGGGAGGAGGAACCTTCAGAACTGCTGGTAACGCTAGAAAAAGCATGCACGCAGTCATACCATGACACAAGTACAACGATACTTCGTGGATTTAAACGTCGTTTTCTTGTGACTTTCCTGACTAGTGTTGTTCTTGTGTCGCGGTATGACTGACGGCACTCTTTGTTCTAGCGTTACTAGGATTCCTGTCTCCACGCCACCTTTTTAACTATTCTTCATAAATTTATAGTAGAGAAAAAGGACCAAGGAACTACAAGTTACGCTATAACATGTCCCCTAACACCACCAGTTACTAAACAATCAGCTCATGCGATAACATGTAGTTAAGATGTAGTTCCTCGGTCCTTTTCTTTTATATGAATTTATCCTAAGCTCTCCATCCGAGCCCATTATTCTTCATAACTCCGTCATTTCTTGTGTATTCAACAATCCAAGGGTCTACGTTGTAGCGGAAACTCCAAGCTCTCCAATGCAACAATCGCTGAAGATCTGCAAAGGAACGAAGTTGCCGTACACCGCTTGCGTTCTCCCGTATCCGCGCATATCCTTCTACTCCATTCTTGTTATCCCAGGTTCGCTTGGGCTTTCGACAACAGCTCCTCGTCATCTTCTTGGCCAGTCAGGTGTTGTATATTTCTCCTGGTTGTTTGCACTAGCTTTTTTCTGTGGCCCTGCCCTCTGAGTTGTGTTCAAACTTCCCATTGCAAAATGAATACTTCTACAGCATAATCGTCGTCGTCCCCATCATCAGAAGCAACATAATTATGATCGGTTTGAAACAGCTTCCGAAATGGAAGAGGTAGAGCCTTGCGTGCCACGCACCCAGCTAAATGTGGAACGGAAAATGCTCCAAACTAATGTTGCGAAATTCGATACGCTTATTATTTGCACCCGTTGTTGTCTCTGGCCTCGCTGTCTCGTCCTGTCCGGTGTCAAATATGGTCTGCTGTCTGTACGGGTGTGGTGCGTTGTGTGCAGTATATGGGTGTGGTGCCTATGACGTGGTATATGTGGTGTATGCGTTGTCAGAGTGTGTGGATCTGCTTCCGCCTGTGCGAGTGCGTTTGTCGACTAGTTGAAACTCTTGAGGCATAGACAAGAGTGGCTCATGTTAGCCGAAAGGCACGGCCACCAGGTCGCGACGTAGTTTCAAGATGATCAAAATGACCTTGTTGTTGGAGACGCCTTTGCTGGAGATGCCAGGAAGCAAAGGCGTCTCCAAGCTGCAATCGACGCCGAGGGGGGGGGGGGGGCAAGGAAAAGGCGGCCTGGTGTTTGCCAGCCCGTGTGGTCAAGCAGCCCATTATGTTACCAGGTCTCAGAGATCGCCTAGTTAGGACAGGTGACTGTTGGCGGTGGTTGCTATAGAAATCCAGTACTGCGTACGCGTCATTTGAGCGTTTCAAAATTCACTTGATCTGTTTCTGCTGTTTTGATGCAGAGAAGGAGGAATGGTGGATTCGGGCTCATTCGGATGGAGAAATGCACGAATGCAGACCACATGCGTCAAATGCAGGCGTACACATGTACAGCCACGTGTTGGCAATGGCCTTTTCATGCATTCCACTGAAAAAAAATTTGGATTCCATGTGTAGTTTTTTTTCGTTGAGAGGTTTTGCTTGCCCAAATACTAGAAATAGGGCACAGACTTCGTCTTTTTTAGTTTGGTGATCGCCAGTCTGTTGACCAGTCTACGTTTTGAGCTCTTCGTCCAGTGCCACCAGACCACTGATCATGTCGTCGCGGAAGCATGACGTGCAGGCCAGACGTTCCTCGCGTCGTGCCACTCCTGGGGCCTACCAGTGTGGAAACCCCTTCCACTACCAGTGGGGGAGTACGTCCACAAGGAAGGACAAAAACGCCAGGAAGTCGCTGTTGGATGTCCTCTCCAGCATCAGCAGACGGAACATCAAGTCTATCTGCAGGTAGGGCATGGGGCCGTGAAATTCTAAGGGTCGAATTTGTTGTACTGTAGATGAAAACATACCTGATTTTTCATTGAACTCCACGTGCCCATTGTATTTGAATTTCGTTTAAAGTGCGGCATTGGTAAGCCATAATAGTAATTGCTCGTGTTCTGTTTGATAGCTGCCAATGGTGTCCAGCATGGTGACTTGATCGGGAATGATGACAATGTTTGAAAGGCACTGTACAGGTCTATGAAAGCACTGTAATGATGAATGAAATGAAAGCACTGTAGAATTCAGGCCACTGTGTGCTTTTTTTGGGGGGGGGGGGGGGGATGTGTTGACAAGTGATTGCCTTGGGACTATTTCATGTGAAACTACGGTTTGCCCACTGTCTGACCTAAAATTCATTCATTTTGATCCAACTTGTAGGTACTGCCGACATGTTGCTGATGAGAAGCCAGAAGTCACCAGTCACCGGCTCTACAAGGGTCCGTCAGTATCAAACACTCCTGGTGTGGTAAGTCGCAATGATGCTCCTCCTTTTGATGATTCTGTGGATGGTGGGGGTGTGGCCTCTGGTGATGGATCTGCTTGTGGGATTCAGTGTGGCAATGGCGTGGGAAGCAATTGTGGTAAGGAGGTTGGCGTTGCTTGTGCCGGAGGGTCAGACATTGACCTGTACCTTGCAGCCCGGCGGACAATGTCGCCACTTCTCCATGCTCGCAACCACACAACGTACCAGCTAATAGAGCTGTATGAAGAGCAGCAGCGGCTTGCAACTCCACCCGACCTGAGGAAACTCCTGGACAGGACACTGTTCCTGAGCCGCTCTGGCAGAACAGACGCGCACCAAGCAGTCGACGCTGTGGTTGAAGAATTAAATGCCAACATGAAGGCCTGGGTGTCTGGTGACAAGGACTCAAATATGTGGCGGCATGTGGCCCGCAACTACAACCAACTGGTGACGCTGAGGTCGAAGGTATTTGGCACCCTGAGGCTCACGGATCCCAAATCCACTGCTAAGGCCCAACCGTCGTACGAGAAGGAGCTGGTTGTTTGGCGACACCGCCTTCGTAGCTTCCTGTGCCCTGGAGAAGAGCTGGCTCTTCACCGCCCGTTGGAGTCCATGTCATCCGATGAGGACATGTTGGACACTGCAGTCTCACTTGTATTTTAGCTCTTTTTCTGGAATGGATGCTGCTCTGCGCCCCTTGGTGAACATTTCCTGCGCTCGTGGAGCAGCTTAAAAGGACCACTGGTATGTCTGGTTCCTGGTTTGAAAGTGGAGAGCCGACTTTTGTGCCTTGAAAAAGGAGTAGAGAGCGATAAAGGTACGTCTGCGGCTTATTTTTGAGTGCTCCTCGTACATTTTTGATCGTGATAGAAATTCTCAGACCAAAGTCAGACCAATGATGGATGATGGCCGTACAGTTTTCTTGTGGATGTTTTAGTTGTTTCATCTCCTATCTATGTCAGTATCGTGATGGTGAAGTGGAGAGGGTGATTTTCTTCCTCTAGGCTTCGTTCGGCCGACTTTGCTTCGTCCTCGTTGAAAAGTGATCCTGAAAAAAAGGTCGATTCGCAAAAGTATGTTGATTTTCAATGTACGTGATGACATGCGATTGCTAGCTATGCCTTATGACCCTCCCCAAACCCACCCACCCACCCACCCACCCACCCACCCACACTGAACGAAAAATATATTGACTTGACAGCTAGAATGGATTGATATTTCAGCTATCACATTTTTCATATTTAACGAAACTCTTCTCGACCCCCCCCCCCCCCCCCAACAAAACTTTTCGTTTTGTGTAAAAATTTAAATTTTACTGCTGTGTTTTTGTGCTTCGTGACTTGAGATATTGCATCTCTGCAAATTCAAATCTTTGATCGATACTTGCCGCCATTTTTAGGGAAAACCCCTATTTTGCGTGCCTTTGGAGCGACTGACTGAGCATGAGCACAAGCTAGCGCTAGTGACGTAACAGCCTGAAGTTAGTTGAATCGTCTCGAAAATATGTGTGCGTTCACACAAACCCCTGAAATGATGTGGCACTTATTTTGGACAGGCGGTAATAAAAGACCACCGCGATAGTTTCCGAAAATACGGAAACAAACCCCCAAGAAAGTAAAAGTGGGGAAACCCCCAAGAGCCGTTAAATGTTAGCTGCTAACTGTGCATCTAGAGCCAGCGACCCAGCGTGAGAGAGTGCTAAGAAAAGTGCACAACCCCCACATGCATTCGTCCACTCGGTGCCGAGGTGTGGGGGTTGGATTTCTCTCGGCCCAACTACACTCGGATTTCTTTTTGCCCCGACTGCAGCACAATTCTACCTGGATTACGCATGCACGTTTGCATAACAGTCTCACACACACGCCGGAACCACTCACCATTTTGCTGGGACCGGGGTGCACAATCTCGCTCTCGCTAGCGGCATACCCGCTGAAATTGAACGTCGTAAAGTGCAGGACTGGCAGCTCCTCACCACTGGCCGGTTTCATTGGCTCGAAGAACTTCACCACAATGTGCTGCGAGAAACAAGACATTGGAAACAGCAACACGCAGAATTGATCAAAATGTCCGCCATACAGGACCTCGCCGCAGTTTCTCAATAAGCCCATTGCGCAATGACCCCCCCCCCCCCCCCCCCCCCCATTGCGCAATGACATAATTCATACCATAAACACCCCCACGCAGCCATACCACCTGGGCATGGTTGTCTGGGGTGTTGAACAGTGCATCGCTGATCCCAGTGTACTCACATGCATTACTCATACCTTCCATATTTGGCAATGTGCAATGGGCGTACTGCTGGAGGAGAATGATGTGAATGACTGAGAGTTGGGTTGGGCAAACGGTAGTTTGAAAATTTGAGCAGTACATTCAGCTTTCAGTATCAGGGTCCTAGCTGATCCGCTGTTATGAGAGTCAGAAGAGAAGAGAGTGCGGCTGGTCAGCTTAAAAACGCCACGGTGGATGTAGCAGAAACTGAATTGCTCATCAAAGGCCAAACACAGTACTGCTCAGCCTTTCAAACTTCCCCAAGCCTGCAGCTGATCCGTTGTTATGAGAGTCAGAAAAATAGGGTGGGCTGGCCAGCTTAGAGTTGGGTGTAGATTGGAGAAGAAACTGAAATAATCATCAAAGGCCAAAACAGCACTGCTCAACCTTTCCAACTTCACAAAGCCTGCATACGGAACGGTGATATACAGTAAAACCTGGTGCAAGCGACCTCCGGTTTTAGCGACCAAACGACCACTTTTTCTTGCACCGTGGGGTGGTTGCTTAAACCAGGTTATACTATACAGTACAGTAAAACCTGGCCTAACAGGACACCTTTGACGCCCTCGGTGCAGCGGAAACTATCCTGATACGACAGGATTGCGCTTGATCCAGGGATGCAAGTTCGATCCACAACATGTCGGTGCATGAAAAGTTCCAGGATTCCGCTTGCTACAGGGTCCGGCAATCACAGGTTTTACTGTATTATTATGGATAGTTTTTCATATACAGTGAAACCTGTTTAAGACGACCGCTCAAGGGACCTTCAAAATGTGGTCTCTGTTACCAGGTGGTCTCCTTATCCAGGGTCATTTGACTGGAAATAGCATCCCTTGGTCCTGGTTTAGTCAGATCTTTTAGGACAGGTGGTCGCCTTATCCGAGTGGTTGCCTTGACAGGTTTAACTGTAACCTCTTCTACAGGAACAGAGTTCATAAAACTGCAACTTGAGAAACACATTGGTGACACGACGTGTACCACAACGATTGCCGGCTGACCAGCGCACGCTTTTACCTTGCTCACATATAAATATACCCCCCCCCCCCCCACACGCACGCACGCACGCACGCACGCATACACACACACACACACACACACACACACACACACACACAAACACACATACACCCTCTCTCTCTCTCTCTCTCTCTCTCTCTCTCTCTCTCTCTCTCTCTCTCTCTCTCTCTCTTCTCTCTTTCTGCGTTAACTGACCCGCATAAGGCTATGGCCTTCGAAGAGCTGGATGGTGTCACTGCAGCAGAGAGCACAACGGAACCGAGAACACAAATAACAAACCACAGAATGGCATTCAGTGCAAATGCAAAATATAGAAAGATCTTTATTGCAAACTATACAGTGATATTCATTGCAAACTACAGAGTGGTGGTCATTGCTTGTAGCTGATTAGCAGTTGCCTCTAGATAGCCATGGGCCAGAGATGCAGTGGGCTGAGGGTCAGAGATGCAGTGGGCCGAGGGTCAGAGATGCAGAGGGCCGAGGGTCAGAGATGCAGAGGGCCGAGGGTCAGAGATGCAGTGGGCCGAGGGTCAGAGATGCAGTGGGCCGAGGGTCAGAGATGCAGTGGGCCGAGGGTCAGAGATGCAGTGGGCCGAGGGTCAGAGGTGCAGTGGGCCGAGGGTCAGAGATGTAGTGGGCCGAGGGTCAGAGATGCAGTGGGGCCGGGGTCAGAGATGCAGTGGGCCGAGGGTCAGAGTGTAGTGGGCCGAGGGTCAGAGATGCAGTGGGCCGAGGGTCAGAGATGCAGTGGGGCCGGGGTCAGAGATGCAGTGGGGCAGGGGTCAGAGATGTAGTGGGTCGGAGTTGCAAACAACATATCATGTGACACAAGTCAATGTGAAAGTTGCCTCTACCTTCCTACAGCCTATCTACAGCACTGCTCAATGCAAACCAATCGCGTAAGTGTACTGGAAAAGCACAAATTTTCAGCGGTGTAATATTTTCGGATTCTCCAAAATCGGCGGTCGGTGGAGGGAAATTTTCAGTAAACCCGTTTTCCAGGTAAGTGTACTAGTGGTAGTACCGAAATTTTCGGTGTGTTCTATTTTCGACAAAAATGTCGGCACCGAAGTTACCGAAAATAAAACACCGTCGGAAATTTCAGTATGCCACGTCACCACGCCGGGCACTGCACAGCCCTAGACCTGCGAGCACTGGGATGTGAACTAGGTGCAGGGTGCAAACTTGACCCATACGTGATCGGATTTCATTGAGCACTGCACTGTGCATGCGCAGTCTCAATGCCACCAATGCAAACAAGCACACTGTGCATGCGCAGTCTCAATGCCACCAATGCAAACAAGCACACTGTGCATGCGCAGTCTCAATGCCACCAATGCAAACAAGCACACTGTGCATTTACCTGGACTCGTGAATCTCCGTTATTCCCAGGAATTCACCAAGCGGTGGCTTTGTCTTGCCTGATTTCAGATCCCTGGACAAGAAAAGAGAGAGGGAGAGAGAAAGAGAGAGGAAGGGAGGGAAGGGGGGAGAAAGAGAGAGAGGGGGGAGAGAGGGGGAGAGAGAGAGAGAGAGAGAGAGAGAGAGAGAGAGAGAGAGAGAGAGAGAGAGAGAGAGAGAGAGAGAGAGAGAGAGAGAGAGAGAGAGAGAGAGAGAGAGAGAGAGAGAGAGAGAGAGAGAGAGAGAGAGAGAGAGAGAGAGAGAGAGAGAGAGAGAGAGAGAGAGAGAGAGAGAGAGAGAGAGAGAGAGAGAGAGAGAGACAGAGAGAGAAAGAGAGAGAGAAGACATTGTTGAAAAAGTACATCCGTTGCCAACGTAACCCGTTGCTAGATCGGATAGACTTTTATAACCGATGCCAGCAACGAGATGAATCATTCGACGCATTCTACACCAGCTTGAAGGAGTCCTTTGCTGCCTGTGATTTTCCAGACCTGCAAGTCTGTTCGGCATGCTCTGGCTGTATGTGCAGCAGTAAGAGAAGAAGTAATGGCCAAACCGTTGCCTTCCCCACCCTCGACTCCAGTCGTGGAGAGCTCTCTTCTGATGTTTGTTCCTCAGCTTTCCCCTCCCTGCGCGCAGAGACTCCTGGAGCTTCCCCACAAGTTTCCCCATATCCTGAGGCTCATGACGTCGCTCGATTTGAAAGAGGTGAAGGTCAGCGGAAAGCCCTGCTCGCTGTGAGAGCATACCATTCGCCCCAATCGAACGCCCTGTTTTCTAGCAAGAACGACGCGGCAGCTGCATATGACGTGAGTCCTCAGCTGCTTTTGAAGTATGAGAAAGAAATGCAGGCGAGTGGTGCAGTGTGTTTGGTAGTTAGTGGCAAGATACCAGCACCTGACATATAGTCCCTCAACTGGACTCGGCTGCTAGTCACGAGAACATGGAAACCGAGACTTGGCCATTCGCAACTGAGATGCAGGAGATCAAATCCGTGATTGAGAGCAAGTGTACACGTCTTGGTGATGATGCTCAGTATGACACACATGGCACAGTCGGTATGCACCGAGAGGGTATCAAGTGGGCGATCGAGGCAACGTTTGCAAAGAGACTCGCTCAGGATGGACGACGCACTTCTGCTCTCCTGGTATCCATCGGAGCTATTGTCAGCAAGTCAACTCCCCCATGCAAAGCTTGGTGATCACATGAAGCATCGTGATTCGCAGAATTGCCGCAGACTTCCGCGGAGAATATATGATAATTTGCCCAACTGCGGTACTCCAATTGCTATATATGTTATGTCACATCACACGAGCGGGCACTACACGTTCACAAGTCTCATGGGAACGAACAAAGTGAAGCTCCTGAGCGGCATCACTGCCCATCTGGACGGCTGCCTGATGGCCGACACTCAGGCAGCCGTCCTAACAACATGGACAGAATTTTCCGATGTATACCGCACGGTTAATGACAGGAGCCTGGAGGAAGACCAGATCACCCAGCTCGAAGACAAGATCAAGGGCAGGGTGAAGGTCTTCTGTGACCTAGGCAACAGCGTGCCTGGGTACGGCAAAGCCAAGGTCACGCCCTACATTCACGTGTTGATGATGCACGTCCCGTACCTACTGAGAAGGTACAGGAATCTGCAACAATTTAGCGGCCAAGGTGTGGAAAAACTAAATGATGTCGCTCGACGTGTCCACCACCGTAGTAGCAACAAGCACAAAGCTACGCAGGACGTGCTCCTGGCCACAGCACGAATAGATACGTTGGCAAGACCGGGAACGAGGCAATGTTTGCAAAGAGACTCGCTCAGGATGGACGACGCACTTCTGCTCTCTTGGTATCCATCGGAGCTATTGTCAGCAAGTCAACTCCCCATGCAAAGCTTGGTGATCACATGAAGCATCGTGATGAAGCATCGTGATTCGCAGAATTGCCGCAGACTTCCGCGGAGAATATATGATAATTTGCCCAACTGGGGTACTCCAATTGCTATATATGTTATGTCAAATCACACGAGCGGGCACTACACGTTCACAAGTCTCATGGGAACGAACAAAGTGAAGCTCCTGAGCGGCATCACTGCCCATCTGGACGGCTGCCTGATGGCCGACACTCAGGCAGCCGTCCTAACAACATGGACAGAATTTTCCGATGTATACCGCACGGTTAATGACAGGAGCCTGGAGGAAGACCAGATCACCCAGCTCGAAGACAAGATCAAGGGCTGGGTGAAGGTCTTCTGTGACCTAGGCAACAGCGTGTCTGGGTACGGCAAAGCCAAGGTCACGCCCTACATTCACGTATTGATGATGCACGTCCCGTACCTACTGAGAAGGTACGGGAATCTGCAACAATTTAGCGGCCAAGGTGTGGAAAAACTAAATGATGTCGCTCGACGTGTCCACCACCGTAGTAGCAACAAGCACAAAGCTACGCAGGACGTGCTCCTGGCCACAGCACGAATAGATACGTTGGCAAGACCGGGAACGGTCAAGGCGAGGCTATAGCCGTAAGGAACAGTTTTCATTACATGTACACATAGCTCGTTTACCCGATCTTGGATTTTGTCTTCCAGCTTGGTTACCCGTTAGGTGTGCAGGCTTGTCTCATTTATTGATTCGCTCGCCCCGCCGTCTCTCTTTCTCTCCTCCCATTCGCTACATGTATTGCTAAGTAAGTTAGCTTTGGTGCTGCGTGCAGCGTGCATACGATTTTAATGTGCACTGAAATTGTGGTGCAGCTCCGTATTCAGCCGAATGCTTGCTTCTTTCGTGCTGTGTGGTGAGCATAAGATTGAACAAGGCCTCTTTGCTGGACAAACTAGCCACAAATTCTGACTTGCTATTTCCTTCATCAGATGCAAGCCGTAAGTTACTTGCTAGCTGCCAGCTAATTTAATTTTGTATATTCACCAAGTATGAGCTCTTGGTAGGACCATACAGTTGGAATCATTTTTGGTGCACTGGACAAGTGCATGCATGGTACGAGCAGCTTGCTAATCTTTCTCTCTTCTGTAAAAATAGAAAACGGTCGTGTGATGGCAGGGATTGGTGACCCTTGCAAGCTAAGTGGAAAACCGAAAATAGTTTACAGTCCATTTCAAAACTATAGACGCGTACCTTGGCAAAAACCGTTATGCCAGCATCTATATCACTTAGTGCATAAAAAATTTCCAAATTGGGCGTCTGTTATCCAATCGTTTAGAAACTATATCAGAGTAATTGTGGAGCGGTCCTGAGCAATATTCCGAAAACTATTCTCAAAAAGTTCCAGCCAAATTTGAAATATGAGCCCCGGCCAGCGAAAACCAGCACTTGTGTACTTGATATCAATCATCAAAATGTGACGTCAAAGTTTGGGACGCGCAGTGAGCTGGCTTTTGAAGATTCTTTTCGATCGAGTGGGTGTCTTTGTTGTCAAAGGAGTTTCAAGTGTCTTCAAATGTCTCTGGTCAATTGATTTTAGCGCTAGGTGAGAGCTCGTCACACAGAGGTTGAGTTTAGACACAGCGATGGCGACAGGTGTCGCGACAAAGACTTAGGTCCAGAGTTGTCAGCGTGAGACTCCCTGTACGAAGCGGCGCTGAAAGTTAGTTCGCGATCGGAATTATTTCTTTGTTGGCGATCTCGCTGAGTTTGTCCAGCAGTGGCGAGTGTCATATGCATAGCAACGAAGAGCCCTCATAAAATCGACACTGGATACTGGTGGCGACGATAGTCAGTGCTGAAGAAATAGCGACTGCGAGGAGAAGCTGAATGTCGACCCGCTGAGCGATCCGTATTTCTACATCGACAACAATGATGTTGCAGACACTGATGGAGGGCTTCTCACGGCGCAAAACAGAGCGTAGTATTCTCAGTACTCTACCTTGCCAGACGACACCAAGCTGGCTGCTGCCTGTGTTGAGAAAGGGGATCCCTAAAAACTCAAACCGGCTGAACGCTTTGGGGCAACATGTTCACGTGCTACAAAACGCCAGCATTCGCTCATATCATTGAAATACAATTATGCTGAAATCATGGTCTGAGTGAAAGTGTGCAAGGGAGTGGATGTCAGTAGTATTGATCAGTACATCTATCAGTATGGCAAGCTTTGGGACAACGCCCAAACTGCCAGCGCAGAGGTCCCTGAACACAATTTGGAAGGCCAGCCACCAATCATCGTTTTGCACTCTGGTGTTGTAAAGAAGGTAGTGATGTATACGGAATATCGTCACTGTGACTTCTGAACTACTCATGCCTGCACAGGCTGCAGCACCAAGAGGGCAAGCCTGACTTGCATTCTATTTACTTACATGTACCTGTTCCACATCACAATCAGAAACTGTAGGATCAACTTGCATGGAGTCACTAGGCATGGATGCTGCGCCAACTGTACCGAATCTTGACCTCTCTGACTTCAAACTCTATTTTCCATGCTTTCGCTTATCAGATTGTCACCAAACTTGATAACTTGAATGATTAATAGTGTAGAAACAATTTCGAGGGAAAAAATAATTTTTGAAAAAATTACACATGTTCAGGTTTCTGCTGGCTGGGGCTCATATTTCAAAAACACTGCGCGTCTATAGTCTTGAAATGGACTGTAGTTTTAAAGGCACTCCTCTTAAGACGCTATAATTATAGTCTTGGAACTGGTGGCTGGAAGTGTGAAGAGGCTGACTGCAGTTCACTAATAGAAGAACTGAAACTAAACTGTACACTATAGAATGCCTATCGACGCTATTTTATTTTCATGTCCGGAAATCCATACGTTGAAATATAGGCCAAACAATCAGCATGTCAAAAACGTCCTGTCACCAAGTCTATGAGACCACAGCCTGAGCAATTGTCAATTTGTCACATGTCTGGAAGATGAAGGAGGCCATACAAGAAATACAGGGATGAATTTATCCGGTATCGCATCGCAGTTTGCTACGCCAAATCGATCTACTGCTACTCAAAATCACAGTGACACGCAGAAAACTGCCATACATACACATACAGACTATCCATGCCTTTTTGTAGCTTACGCCACAATAGAGATTTTGCATAGCAAAAACTGCTATGCTAAAACATGACAGTAAATTCATCCCTGAAATACAAAAAAGATATTAATTTTTATAAAATCTATAACATGCAGCCAGTTGGGCCTAGGGTTCTATTTTATTTTTTATGTCCAAAATTAATTGCTACTGTAAACCGCCCAATATTCGCGTCACTAAATTTTCGCGATTTCTCAGAACCAGCGAGTTTACGATGGCAAAATTTCGCGAAGCACTGTGGCCACCTACATACACGCACTGTTGAATTTTGATTTCACGATGGTTAATATTCGCGATTTCTTAGAACCAGCGAGTTTACGATGGCAAAATTTCGCGAAGCACTGTGGCCACCTACATACGCCCACTGTTGAATTTTGATTTCACGATGGTTAATATTCGCGATTTCTTAGAACCAGCGAGTTTACGATGGCAAAATTTCGCGAACACTGTGGCCACCTACATACACCCACTGTTGAATTTTGATTTCACGATGGTTAATATTCGCGATTTCTTAGAACCAGCGAGTTTACGATGGCAAAATTTCGCGAAGCACTGTGGCCACCTATATACACGCACTGTTGAATTTTTGATTTCACGATGGTTAATATTCGCGCTACGCTCTTCTTGCGAAAATAGCGAACATTAATCCGTCGCGAGTATTAGGCAGTTTACAGTATTCACCTCTTGCACACCTGTGGCACAGACACATATTTTTTGACCGGTACGTTCGGGCTCTCCGCATTCTCTGTGAAATAAAAGGAAAAAATGCGCACGTTCGGGCTCTCCGCCTTCTCCGTGAAATAAACAGACAACCAACAGACATGAATTACTCCACGCCATCTCTTGTCTGAACAAGGAAAACGAAAAATGAAAATGAAAAAAATTGAGAAAAAAATCCTTCGAGCCGGATTCGAACCAGCGACCTAAAGATGACTACACATTCAATGATGCGCACACTACAGTCTTCCGCTCTACCAACTGAGCTATCGAAGGAGACATTTTTTACATAGCAACAGACAGCATTTGCAGTAGCAGTATTCTTTTTTGCTTTTGGCTTTTTGCTTGTTTCCGACGGTCTTCCAGATAAAGCAGCATTGGGCGGTATTAATTTTTGTATTTTGAATTTTTTGGAATTTGTATTCATGGATTCTCCACAGGCCGTAGCCTTTGTTGTGGTTGTACCGGTATACTTTATTTATAGTGAAAATCAAAACAGGCATAATGCCTCCCCTAAATCGACGGAGTCTCTGTATAAAGGGTCGCCACAAAAGTTGTTGTCTTCCTTGAAACGAACACGAACACATTTCAGGAGGGGGGGGGGGGGGTTGAGCCAAATCTCAAGTTGACTGAAACTATACATGTACCGGTATGCGATTTGCGTAGTCCAGGATAGCAAGCTGCGTTCTTTGGGGGAGGGGGGGGGGGCAGAGTACGAACTAAACGGTGTTTGTTTCAGGGGCCACATAAAACTTTTGCGACAACCCGTAACGCCACCAGAGGCAGAGGAATTGTGACGGAATGCTGCAGCCTTTCTTGAACCTGTTCCCAGGTGCCGTGATAGCAAGTGGATTCCACCCTCAAAGAGACAAGGTTACGCACTCTTGCTATGACAGGTGTGGGAGCCACCGTCGCAGAACCACAAACAGTGGGCAGCAGGACTCCAGTCCGTTCATAAAAAGATGGACTTGTAGCTTTCGGCCATGTTAAAATGGGTCAAACTTTGTGAGTTTTTTTAGTAGTGCTGGGATGACAGCTACACCATAGCTCAGTAGTTAGGCATTGCTGGCCTCAAGCCAAGGTCCCTGCTTCAAGTCCTGATGGTGACAGTCAATTTTCTTCAGACTTTCCCTTTTCCATTCCCTCAGCCAGTACCGGTAAGTGGATCTTTTTTAGCAGAATTTTCCTTGCAATTCCCCACGGAATACTTTCCCAATATTTCCGAAGTCTCCAAAAAGAAAGCAGTAACAATAGGATTTCAGCCAGGTTTCGCCTCAAAAGCACCGAATTGGGAAAAAAACATGAAAATCCAGGCCGTTTCACTCCACTTGCACGCAGTTTTTCTTGAGCAGTGTTTCTGCTAGACCCCTTTCACTTCCCTTTCATCCCATCCACCCTTCAAGGAAACTCCCCTGATAGGTATCCATTTACTTTTGGAGAATCCTTCAAAGAATAGTCTGAATGAATGAACACCTGCTACTAAGCGCTCAGACATGCCCAGAGGACACTCTCTTACTCGACTTTGCCTTGGTAGTTGTCGGCAGTCCACTCGTCTTCGGTGAAGGATTCCAGGACCTCTCCTCCATTGCTACACAGACAAACATAGCAGCACGCATCATGTGATACAGATTCACTACAAGCGTAATCAGAGACACATGCTCTTTAACAGGGGCCAAGTCTAGGTAGGTCAAGAGCAGGCTCCGTACATCAAATGCACACCATCATTACACATGCACAGACACGAAATGGAATACAAGTTGTTGCGCTGCAGCTGCACATCATCAAACACAACCACCGCCACCGCCACAACCAGCAACAGCAGCAGCACAAGCACCAGCAACAGCAGCAGCCATCATCAAAAAAACAACCACCGCCACAACCAGCAACAGCAGCAGCACAAGCACCAGCAACAGCAGCAGCCATCATCGCAGCAGCAGCAAACAGCGCCAGCACACGCATACACACACACACACATACACATATGCATCACATAGACTTACAGCTCATCCTTGATAGCAAACACAACTGCAAAGCGAGTTGAGTTGTTGTTCTTGGGCAACTACACAACACAGCAAGGAGCAGCAACAACAACAACAACAACAAAACCTAAGCGCAAAGTTCCGTGAAGCGTGCACATGCTCAAACAGAGGGAAAGAAACAGACAAGTATTTCAAACCCCAATGCGTGCATGCATTCAACACTGGATGCCCAGGGCCACAGCAAAGATAGGCAAGATGACAGGTAAACACAGAAGCAATCACACTGCGTGTGTGTGTGTGGGGGGGGGGGGGGAGAGAGACATCACGTAACGTACCGTTCAGGGCATAGCTTAATTAACCCTTTGAGCACGCATGACGTATTATTACGTCACGTACAGTGTCACTGCACCCACGCATGACGTATTATTACGTCGTGAGTATACATAGCATACAAACGCGATTTGCATGAACCGCGCGAGTTCAAACTATTGTAACTCGGTCAATTCTTGACCGATTTTCACGATCGAAACATGCATCAGCAAGAGAAAACTCTCAGCTTGCGATAGAAACAATCGCCGAAGCGATACGACCCCGGGTTGTTGAGATATGCGACTCGACGCGGCAAATTCAAATCGATTTTTTGCGTACTCTGCAGAACGCATCTTTTCCATTTTCGATCATTTTCGCGCTATCTGCTGCCATGGAAACTAGATTCAAACGATGGCAGCGGATCTGGGGAGTCCTCCAAAATATTTGAGCTCGATACGAGCAAGGAGAGTGAAATGGCAGCTGAGGATTTGATCTCCTGGCCGTGCTCAAGTCTGTCGAGCGCGTGCGTGAAGTTTGCCAGACTGTAGCATGGGCTTCTGGTGTCGCTCCGAGCTGGGCTTGGAACTACTTGGTCCGGCTCATCGCAATTGTCGCTTATCTCCCACTCACTTTTTGACAGGTAAAACCCTGTCCAATCACGATATCTAACTTACTTTTGCTTGGGCGGTTGTGATGGCAAGATCAAATGAGGCACCAAAGAAAAAATGATCGCGACTAGCGCTTTGAATCGCGATGTGTTCGACTTTTTTGGGAAGTGGAAATCTGGCCTTTCACTGTCTGTGTTGCCAAATGCCAAGCGCAGCGACCCGAAGACCGGAACTGTAGAGTGTGACAGGCACGCGTGCACCGCAGAGGAGTACGAGTATGAGCGTCATGCTGATGAAGAAAGGTGTTTTCGATGCGCGCATGCGAGGGACGTTTTGGTTGTTCCTTTTTCCTTTTGTTCCTTCGTGGACCTGGCAGCAGCATTACAAGAATCATGGTAAGTGTATCCAGTGGAGCGTATGACAGCTGTCTGGAGAGGCATGTATGCGAGGGACGTTTTCCTGGCGGCAGCAGCATTAGTTGTAAGCGTATCCAGTGGAGCGTATGACAGCTGTCTGGAGAGGCATGTGTGCTGCATTCGAAGGCTCTGTTGAAACACACTGTGGTGACACACAGGTCACACTGCCCACGATTCCTTCAAGGACCGTTTGCTGCCATAGGACAGGCTGACAAAGCAAGAGATACTCTACCAGTCTACGCCAGCAGCTAGACACCAGCAATTTAGTGTCAGCTCATGTAATGGCGGCAGCTCCAGTGATGGAGAGTTGAATGAACTCTGGACCTGTAAGAGTGTGAGTGCAAAAACGCGCTCCTTCGCTGATTTATTTCGTGCATTTTGCTTACCTTGCTTCCCTTCTATGACTCGCTTCACCTGATTCCATGGCTGAATTTTTTTTCTTGTGGCGGAGAGTATTCATGTGTCATGCTTCCCCACTATGCCTATTGAAAATATCACAGAGCGGCAACAAAACGCCTGTTCTTAGTGGCGATAGATAAGCGACAATTGCGATGAGCCGGACCAAGTATTTTGTTCCTCGCCTCAAGATCTTTGCAGGAAGCTCAAGATCATGGAATTCGTCCAAGGGAAGGTAAAGTTATCGATCCTTGAACAGCTACTACTTTCATAGGAAAACGCGATTTTTGCAGGTGTTGACATGGGGCGGCATTCAGGTAGTGTCGTGCTCAAAAGGTTTTAAGGATTTCATTTAGCTCGGACAAATGTCCTTCCATTTTGAAATCTGTCCGGACATGCCCGGACATTTTCCACAGCACATTCTCAGGGTGTTTCTTCTTTTTTTTAGTAGTCCTGAAGTATTTTCACAATGACTCATTATGTGGACATATCTCACACATTACTATGTACAATTCACCAATTTATTTGTATTAGAAACTGAACTATTTAAAAATACTAATAATAATATTCGCGGGATCCGCGTCGGCATCGCTTGAATGTTCAGAAACAAACAAACTAGCCTTCGCATCCGCAGGCCACCACTATGCCTATTAACCTTAGTGGCGAATGCAGACCTCACAAGTGAGTCAGGGGAGAGGAGGTTAGTCTCTCAACCAATCGGGCGTGTAACGGCCCATAACCCTGTAAACTGCATCCTTGTTATTCTCACTCCGAGCTGTGAGTACCCAGTTGACCGTGGGTGTCGGCGCAGTTCTGAACTATTTACTGACGACAAATGTATGTACAAGAAAGCGTTGCAGTCAAGAATTCAGTTGCAGACATCTTCCTCTCAAGAGCGAACAACTGCACTAGCAGTCCAACCCATCGATTCAAGTGCGAAGTCGACTCCAACAGTCGAAAGTGTGAATTGACTGTAGCAACAACGCGTTGCTACAGGCGGATCAAGTAAATATAGTGAAGTCTACGCCTGAGACTACGGTGTACGTGTTAGTTGTACGATATGCAAGTCGCATTTGGCACGAAGCTCCGAAGAAAGCCCAACTCTACATAAAAAGGTCGAAAGGTCGCTGCTCTTTTTTTACTTTTTGACCGGACACTATGTCCGGTGAAATTGAAAACGTCCAGTCATTGGCCGAAAATGGCCGGAAAATGTCCGATGTCCGGCCGTTAATCTATGCCCTGCCGTTGATGAGCCCCCTCTCTAATTTCCGCCCCCTGTCGAATTTCTGCCTGTGAAGCGACTGCAGCGTATACAGTCAACGCGTATAACGACACTCGGCTGGGCATCAGAAAAGTGTCCTTATTCGCGAAGTGTCGTTATACCCGAAGTCTCACTACATGTACAGTCAAATCTCTTTAGGACGAACACCAAGGGACCGATGATATTCGTTCGCAATAACGGGAGTTCTTCTTATCCATATGTTTTACCCAGTGAATACACAGGGTTACATCCAATACAGTTACGAATACTAGTTCTTCTTTGACAAACATTTGTCCTATCAGTGTTCTTCCTAACCAGGTTTCACTGTACTACAGTTAGATGAGACTTTGCTCTGGGCATGGAAATTCTGTCGGTATTCGCGAATTGTCGTTATATCCGCGGTCGTTATTAGCGAAGTTGACTGTACGCCGAAATGCGGTGTTGAACCGACGCATTCGCTACTGTACATAGTATATTCCAGTGCATGATGAAAAATGCGCGCAATTCGGCATGCCAAGTCTGATCTTTCGCATCGTTGGACATTGTACTGCACTCGGCAGCCTGGATCTAATTCCCACACCCTGTAGAAGATCCAGCTGGGAAGCAAGTCAAGTGGCATAGTGTGGACAGTGCGGAGGGGAGGGGGAGGGGGCAGGGGAGGGGGATCAACGGCATTTTACGGTACATGAAAACCTTGTAGGGCCAAACTTTTGAGGAAATGCGGGAGACGGGACTGAGTAAGAGGCAAAGATAAAAAGAGAGGATGAGAGAGAAAAAGAGAAAATTACCAAAAAGAGTAATATACACACACAGATAGGGAGACAGACACGCACACAAAACATGTACACACACGTGACCATGCATACACACACGTGACCATGCATACACACACATCCACGCCCACACACATATGAAGAGCGCACAATAACTGACTGACCCTTGTGACCAGCGATGTCAAGAAGAACGTCTTCTTGCTGTCCAGGGAGAAGAGGAAAGTAGAGTGCGGTGCCTTCGTGACAAATACTGAAACCAAGAACACGCACACGCACGCACGCACGCACGCACGCACACACACACACACACACACACACATACATACACACACACAAACACCGCTATATCACTTACAAAAATCCACTGCACTACAGACAAACGGGATGCCCCAGTTTCGGAAGAGGTAGAGCTTTTTTCACAACGTAGAGAGACAAAAGCTGTTGCAACTCAACGCCTCATGCTCTAACAACTATCAGGCACACAAATTGAGCAATTTTGCTTCGTATCTCAAAACAATGCATTCACTACATGCAACCCTCGCCAGGGAAACACAGCAGAGGAAATGAGAGCATTATGGCAAGCAGGTCAGCACTATGTAACAGTTTCACAGGACATTCTCTCGCACATGTATAAACCTTGGCACAATACACTGGCTGGGTCTTCCCAACACTATTGAACAGGCAGTGATATGCCGATGGGTGAACTTCAATTCTTTATGAGTTTATCACTTCCAAGACACTGACAAGGGTATTGTACCACAGCCTGAGCGGCGGGGGAGAGAAGAGACACTAGAGCGTTTCATATAGCACACATGTTTGTACTTTGTAGGTTAGGGATGGTGGAGGTGTGGGAAAGAAGAAAACCCCAGCATTGTCACACCACCATCCACAGCAAAGTGGCCTTGATGGGGCTAAAAGACCCTGAATCGACACAATTAACGGCCCTGTCATTTACACTTGAGCAACGATGGCGACGCTTTGGAGACGAGCATTACAGAAATTGACTGTGTCAATGGTTCTAAGGACACACACGCATGCATACACACACGTACACGCGCGCACACACACACACGGTGACGCACACACACGCGCACACAGTGTACATACCGTCTTTGCAGGCTTTTGCCATGCTGACAAGAGACGTGATATTGTTGTTCTTGACGTCGGTGAGCGCTTTGTTGTTGCTAGCCACCGTCATCTGCAATGGACAACCTGTAGCGAGAAATAGAATTCACACATGCACACACACACACACACACACACACACACACACACACACACAACACGCACACGCACACACACACACACACACACACACACACACACACACACACACACTTGACAGATGTGCTGGAAGTAGAGGGCTCCTTATCCAAACCCGACTACAGCAACCAGGTAACGCCGGGAACGACAATTGCGACCAAAGGACTGTTGTGTACTGTAAAAGCCATAACGAAGTGCTAACTCTAACGAGTTAACGAGGAGAAATCTGTCGTTAAAATAGAAATCGTTATACAGAAATCGATACATATACTGTCCTATTGAGCGTTGAGAATGAGTGAGAATCGTTACCTTTGGTACACGTAAACTAGTCAATTTCGGGAAATCGTTATATATGCGCCTCGTTAGAATAATGGCTTTTACAGTAATAGCTGGAATGCGACATTAGCAAATCAACAAGACCCTGCTACATTGCAAAACACAATCGCATGGATGCAGCTAATGGGATTTTCGGTGGTTCGACCACTTTGGCGGTGGGTCTGATCTACTCACCTGCCACAGCTTAAGAAGCTGCATCTGCGCCTTTGATCCTATGATGGTTATGGCATTCCTACAGATGTGAAAAACTCGGTCTAACCGAGGATCAGGCGAACCGAGAGTCTGTTTCCTAAATTGCAAAGCGCAATTGCCGTGGAGGCTTCTACACGTAGACAGGAACCAGCGGAGGATGCACCCAGTGTGCTGACAGTGCTCAACACAACAGAGGCAGAGCTTAATACACAGTTGCCTGATGATTGCGTAAGCATGAAACTCAAAGTCCTGTAAGACCAGATATTCTAGCGTCAAATAAAGTTAATGATTTCCAGATCTTTTGGGGCTAGCGCGAGGTGAAATTCTAACGAATTCTGTCCAAAAACCGACAAATGACTGTACATGTACATATCGTTTTGTACATAGCGACTTCAAATGTTAACGAATTGTTTAAATTCGTTAAATTGTTAGAATGAAATGTTCAATAACATTACTGGTCTTACAGTAGCAAGTAGACAGGAACGCAACTTACCACTGGAGGTGGTCAACCTGCTCATGGTTGAGTCAAGACCCCTGAGC